ATATATATATATATTCAAATATAACTACTGAAATGTGGTAATATGTATCTCAGAAAACTGTGCAGTTCGCTAATCAAACCTATATGCACTGATGCAATATTGCCAAACATCAGCCAAAAGAAATATGAATTGAATCACTGCATTATCATGTCCATACATGTTACTTCCTTTATGTGCTTTTGGGCATCACAATTTGTGGTCCTTTCTTACTGCAGTCTGCAGAGGCGGAGCAAAAATTTTATTTTGGAGTACATAAACTCTCATCCCACTGTCTTGGGATATTCAAACTTTATTGAACAGGGATACACAATGGAGATCTACTCATCAACTGCATGTATGACAACACATTTTTGAAGTCCTAAGTTACCTAGTATTTTGTGGATTTTTTTATGTTTTTTTTTTTAACATTGTATTTTTTATTGCAGGTGTAGTGACAATCTTGTACATTTTTGCTACATCCTCTGCGCAAGGTAAGAAAGGAAACACTATAATTATACTTTAGACATGTTGGCAATTACTATTACTAGTTTTATATTATTTATTTTTTTATTTATACGAGTGGATATTAAATTTATAATTAAGTGAGTCTAATTAATAATGTGCAACCACTAAAGTGGAGAGTAAATGTAAATTAGCAAGACAATCTCTCTCTCTCGCTGTTTTTTGTTTTTTGTTTTGCTGGATGGAGGCGGAGACGTTTCGATTTCAGCTTCAGCGAGCTCGCGCTTGAGTTTGCATTCAGCGGGGTCGCGCTTGAGTGTGTCACGAGCAGTGCACAATATTTTTCTGTTAGTTGCGGGAAATACTTACCCGTGTAGCGCAAAGCCCAAAGACGGCAAATTGCGTATCTGAACGCTTAACAAATTCAGACCCACTAATGAAGGTACTGTTAGAGCAAAGCACTGTTACACACCCACCGAGACTGGATACCATTTTGACTGGGCGGCGAGGGACAGTAACGTGATGACCGTGGTAGAGTAGCGCTTGACGTGATTTGGGAGCTCTGCAGTATGATTAACGTTAACTGAATTTGGGAAATTTTGTGATGAATTCCGTTGTTTTATTTTTTAATTTTGACACGTATTTTTGTTTGTTTTGTTGCTTGTGATGCTGGGCAGAGTTAGTCTTTGTTTTCTTTTTCAGACAGTTCTTGGCTGCGTTTCCCAAAAACGCAGCCCAGTTTTTGTTATCTTGTAAGTCCCTGTATCGCTGCAAACAATGCACCAATACAAAGTACTTTTTTTAAAAACCCTTCTCGTTTCCGCATTGTTTTGTTTGTTGCAATCTGTTGAGTGCCAATTGCGGAAATGGCATTTAAATGTTTATTATAATATGTAGTGGTACTTAACCAAACCATACACCCTTAACTGAACGAAATAAATATATTATTCACGATTTAAATAAGGCTTCTGGTAGGAACCACCTTCATTAATACCTTCTAACAAATACAGATATGTTTTTAAAAATATTAATGTTAAAATAACAAAACTGTCTTTACCCCCCCCTTTTATAAATAAAAAGAAAACAGATAGAATAGAAAAAGAATAGAGCAAGCTAGTGTTAGAGGATTAATACAATGTTAGAATACAAATGAACTTTGCATGAAAATTCACTTTACCATGGTTTTAGGTTAAAGGGATAGTTCACCAAAAAATTATCATTGTTTACTCACCGTCAGAACATTACAAAGCTGTTTGATGCACTTCTCTGGAAAACAAAATAATATATTTTGTCCATTAAATGAAAGTCAGTGGGGTCCAGTGTTGTTTTGGACCCCACTGACTTCCACTGTATGAATGAAAAGAATCGTGTGACGTTTTTTCAAAATATTTTCTTCCAAAATTTTCATCCTGAACCTTTTGAAGTTAACATGAAATGCAACCCATTTTTCTTACTAAAATTAGAGGGAGAGGTTTGTTTTTGTGTGCCAGGAATTGTGATAAGTGGGTGTTGCAAACCAGAATGGAGCCAGGTGGGAGGGGAGTGATTTTAAAAATCATGTGATACTATAAATCATGTGCCCTTTTACATTCACTTTTTTCATGTTATGATAACATCAGCAAAAAAGAAAAGTCATTTCAGAGGCAGAACAAGTTATTGCATTTTGATTCAAGATTACAAATAGTTTGCACTGATAAATTTGTTTACAATAAGACCGGAAACTTGCATTAAGTCAATGTCATATTCATGTTGACTTTCATGTTTAGCATTTAGAGTTGTCTTATCCAAATGAGACTAGATACCACTTTTCAAAATGAATAATCTCTTTGTTCTTTAGGAATTTGCCATCATGACAGAGGGAGCCAGTGAGTGACCTTACACAGAGCGCTAACGCTGAGCCTCTGAGCACCGTTTCATAAGAGATGCTTTATTATTTTATTTTTTTTATTACATATGTATTTTATCATAGAACACTTAAATGTAAATTAAAAGAATGATTTGGTAAGAGTAAAATGGGAGTAATCTGTCTTGTTTATAATGTCAGCAGCAATGCAGGTTTCAGTGGACAGATGGAAGGCAGTCATCATCTGCACTGTTGTGGAAATGTATCTTACAAGACCTCAGAAAGTTCCTGCTGTAATGGTAGGAGAGGCTCTTGCAGCTGTTAGTTTGTGGTAGCTGAGTCACTGAGAGTAGAGGATGTGATTCACAGTGAGTTTAGGACATACACAATGATTGAACACATTTTATATTTCAATGTGTTGCAGGAAATGTAACTCTGGGATTAAGCCAGCTGGTGGCTGACTGTTGTGATTCTGTGGCTTTCAATCCCCTTAACGAGATTTGCTGTAATGGCAGCATACTGACTCGAAGCAGCACTCACATGAAATGCTGTGGCAAAGGTAGCCGATGCACTTCATGCACCTTGAACAGATTGACAGCCACATTGTTCAGATTTGACACATTTTTGCATGCTTACATTTTTTAAGGTTGATTGATCTTCATACCATTAAATCAAGGAAGGCTTATTTTATAATGAGTTTTCTCTTACACTCATTTACAGTCATGTACCTGACAACGACTCATTTGTGTTGTGGTGGCGGCAACATATTTCAATGGAAGGAAAATCATTCTTGTTGTGGCAAAGAAACGTATGACATGACAACCCACTGCTGCTGTACTAACCTTACACTTGAAGTAAAGCCGAAAAATGAAACTTGCTGTCCAAAAGCAACAGGTGTGATTATTAGACAAACAGTAATAGATATGTAATTTGTTTTAGTAGGTTGTAATCTGAATCTTATTCTCACAGACACTGATGAAAGAACAGAATGCCAGCAAGGCTCTCTTACCACCCGGTGAGTCACACATAATGTTCTGGCTTAAAGACTGTTAAAACTGTGTCAACAGTATCTGTGACATGTTGACTACTACAGAAAATAATTTTGATTTGTCCCTCAGTTTGTGAAAACAATTTTTTTTTTTACAGGTCTATTTTATAATAATTTTTCTGTTTGTTTTTATGTGTTACTGGAAATCTCAAGAACACTCTCCAAAAACTCAGGTAAAGCACTTGGCATCCTCATTGTGTATTAATAGTTTTACAAATCTATAATTTGATCGGATAATGATCTGTTTAGTTTCAGTATCCATTGATAGTCTGTTCAGTTAATACTTGCCTAACCTGATATGTCCAATTTATATAAATCACTTTTGTCATTGTTGGAAATTATGATGATTGTATAGTTATTTTTGTAATAATCTCACACTCCTACTCATTCTGTTCTAGAATCGAAGTGTGGATCAACACCCTACAATCCCCAGAAAAAAATTTGTTGCTCAGTGAATATTCATGAGAAGGCTTCAGCACTTACTAAGGTATTACCTTTTGACTTGAAGCTTAGTTCTGCAGGGACAGAAATTCCAATAAATTGGACATTTCTCTGAACACTGTGGTTTTCAGTAAAATGTGCTTATGAAGTATTTGGAGAAATTACATTATAGAGTATTCAAAAACACTGCATACATTAACCTACTATGTTTACCTGTGTCCTTCAGTGCTGTGGCAAAGATGTTTACACTCTGTCAGATGACAATGTGCTGTGCTGTAATGGAATCCTTCATCTCAATGTGCCTGAGCAGTCAGAGTGTGTTGGAGGTGTTATATATACTCCACCAAACACTATTTGCCAAATGTATGCTCGTCCCCGTCTTGGTAAGCACTGCTGTGGAGGACAAACCTTCAATCCTCGCACACATATTTGCTGTAACGGACACAGGTAGGCCTACAGATTACAAAGATTTGATATCATTTAAAGGGGTCATATGATGCTGCTAAAAAGAACAGTATTTTGTGTATTTGGTGTAATGAAATGTGTTTATGCGGTTTAAGGTAAAAAAAACACATTATTTTCCACATACTGTACATTATTGTTTCTCCTCTATGCCCCGCCTTTCTGAAACGCGTCGATTTTTACAAACCTCATTGGTCTGAAAAGCGAGGTATGCTCTGATTGGCCAGCTATC